GACCTGCTGCTCCTGGATCGTTAACTACAGGAAAAGGAGGAAAACTGAGCTTATTTGTCTGTATGAGTGAAGCCGACGCTGAGGGCGGAGCTGCCAGTCAGTGTGCTTCCGCCTGGAAGGTTAAACATGTTGAATTAAAGAGGAGGAAGAGGAGGCATGGACACACACACCTCAGAGGGCTGTCTGGAGCCAGACGGGGTGCGGATATTTTTACCTGACCAGTCGCCGCTACTTCCAGACCAGTGGATCCAGTTACCGCTGCAGACGGGGCCTCCCAGCCACACCTCCAGGGCCTGCCTTCTGTGCTTGGCCTTGAACATTAATCAAATGTGTCAATTGGAAGCACGCATGTGTGTGAGAGCAGCTTTACAGACACATGACAGCTGACTGTGGAGGTGCAGCACACTCACATGACGTGTGGTCATAGCGGGAGAGGAAGCTGCTGTGGTCTCCGAGGCGATCCGATCGGTCCCTTTGATCATTCTGAACAGATGGCAACAGAGGAGCTGTTGTCTGTTCTGGAATGTGATGCAGAGGTGTGGTGTTTTTATAGACAACAGCTGGATGTTCTGCAGACACACACTCACATGTTCTCTCCTGTATCCTCTGCAGTTTGGGCTGCTGATTGTGACACACACAGCCCAGCATTAAGGCCACATGAGCTGAAACTGATTATTCTTTAATACCATGAAAGCACCTTTTGTTGGTCTGAGCGGCTCATTATAGAGCGGTTTGGTTGAGAGACGTCTTTTATCAGCAGCATGATAAAATCAGGCCAGAGGAGCCAGAGAGGACTTCCTTAAACGAACAAATAAACAAAACAGTCAGTCTGCATCAGATACTGTACTGTACAGCGCACAGTAAAAGTAAACTTGGAAAGAATTAGGCCTGCACATTGTTTTCAGCGTCAGCGCAACTGTTTTATTATCCGTCTCTTAACGCAGGGTAGTAAGTTTGACAATCTCCACCTTTCAGAAAAACAGGCCAGCATTGATTGTTTGATAAGCACAGAGGCATAAAATTCAGATGGTGATGACAATTTGTTACCAGCTCTCAACTTCAATCCATAGTTGAGATGTTATCGCGTCGTCTGAAGCTCACATTAAAGAAGATTGAAACCTTGTGTGTTTAAAGGTTGTTCTGTAGTGTGTCTGATTTTTGGATCTGAAAATGTGAAAATCTCATTTGTGGCATCTGTTAAAGTGTAGCAGAGCTCTTAGATTTGCCAGCTGAAATAAATTACCTTTGAAGTAAAACGTCTCTTACTCTTTGCAGGACTCTGAATCTTTGGACCGGTGCATCCAGTCGGCTCTGGCGGCCCTCTACCCACCCTTCCAAGCCACATCCCCAACTGTCCTCTGTCAGGTCCTCAGCGTTGTGGAGCGCTGTTACCGAGGAGACGGCCTCCGCTACCTCCTCCACTTCCTGCTGCCGGCAAAGCAGTTCTTACAAAACCTCCAGCAGGATGCCTGTGTGAGTATCTCTGCATTTCCCCGAGTAATCTCATCACACCTTTAAGCGTCCTTAACTTGCGCTCAGTGTCTGTTTGTTGTGGATTCACTCAGCTGTAGTCTGTTGTTACATCAGGTTGGATGGTGAACACGAGCAGACAGGAATCTCTGCACAGATGATCACTGTTTCTGAATCAAGCGACTCAGAATATTCGTGTCTGTTCCTGCCTGTCGTACGCGTTCGACTCCAAAGCTCACGTGCTCGCTGCTGGGCGTTCACGTCCCGTCAGATGATCCCGTCTTGATGCAACTTTTGACTCTAAATGAACAGAAAGATGTCAGACTGTTTGAGGGACTCATTAACTGAGCAGCTACAGCAGCCTAAGTGGATACAGATGTGCCACAGCTGCCAAACTTTTAAACACTGTCCTCTTGTTAATGACAGATCAATCAGTACCTGCCCTTCAAAATAAGCTTTTGTATTTTTTCACTTTTGTTAATGAGGCTATGCAAATTTTTCCAAGTCACAGGCCCTCAGAATACAGAGGAGTGGGTTTAAATGAAGTCTCAGGATCACTGCATGATCCGAATAGCGGATGAAGATGCAGAACTTTTAGTTTCCCCTCTAAAGTTTAGTAAACCAAATAAAAGGGACGTGGCATCTCATGCCAGAGAAAATTGTCACAAGCTGAACAGGAGATGGCGCAACAACCTGCAGACAGATCATCCGTGGATCCTCTGTGTCCTTCTCGAACTTTGAAAATCTTCAGGGCCTAAAGTTGTTTGATCATTATGTTGAGACTGTTATATACAACAGTGTGGTATAAAATGGAGCTGTCTGAATGTTTTGATCAGCCACCTGCCCTCCGTGCTCCAGTGCTCGTTTCTGTTCCTCCGTGCCAGGGATGTCCAGTTGATTTTACAACGTGGGCCACATGGAGCCCACTTTCATCTCAACTTGTGTGTGGCAGTGAAAAGAAGTTTGACTACACATTGCAATTTCAGAATTCTGTGTTTTTCTACCTGTTAAAGGAATTTCGCTTCATTAAAGAAAAAAATTCTTCACCTTTTCCAACATGCTCCAGTGGGACAGGTTGGAGTCTGTGCTCCTCATGTTGGACACCCCTGCTCTATGCCATAGATGTTAAATCAGTGCAGGTTTTGCTATTAAAACTATGATGTATCCTGTGATACTGATGCTCAAAGTTAGCAAGATTTTAGATTTAGATTGTTACACAAGGAGAGATGTAGTTGCAACTTATACCCGTGTGCTTTTAGGGCAAGTTATTTGACAATGAAGGTAAACTTTTGCATGATTTCTTTAGAGATTTCAAGTTATTGTAAGAGATAAATCAGCTGATTCTGAGGGGATCAGGTGGGAACTTTACTCAGATTTAATTGAATCTCTGTAGTTGCTCTGTTTGGTTCCAATATTTGGAGAAGGTGTTAGTTTGCACCCATACAGATGATATTCTTTAGCACCAGGATTTTAATGACGCTCTGTCTTGACTGTGATGCTCTCTTCTCTCCTCAGCTGCAGTACTGTGGTTTCCTGTTTCGTCATGAAGGCTGGCCTTTGTGCATCCACGAGAAGGTAGTCGTTCAGCTCAGTCATCTGGACCCACGCCTCCTCCGTCCAGGAGACTTCTACCTGCTGGTTTCTCCTTCTGCAGCCCCACCCCCTCCTCGAGCACACAGGGCCTCCTGGAGGGGCGACATCCCGTTAAAACCGCGCCTGCTCCTGTGCAGCAAGTCGGCCGGCAGCCATCATGTGGAGCAGCAGGAGGTGTTTGGCGTAGCGCTGCAGTCTCTCTTTAGCATGGCCTGGTTAGACTCCGTCAACAGGGAGAGGGAGCAGCGCGGAGCATCCAGGTTGGAGCGCTGCCTCCTCTCCGCCCACGGAGACGTCTTTAGGGTCCCGTGGGAGGATCTGGTCTACCCACAGTTCATCAGTCGGCCCTGTGCTGCTCCGAAGGAGGACCAGGACTCCTCCATTAAGGGCAAAGATGTGGCAATCAAGACATCATCTGACAACAACAGAGAAGCAACCTCCTCAAGTGATGTGAAGCACCTCCCATCTTCGCCTAAAACCGACCAATCACCAGCAAATAGCGGGGGCGAGGACTCGGAGGGGGAGTACGTGGAGCTGACGGAGCTCCCGCTTCCTCGCTTCTCCCCACAGAAAGGCTCTTTAACCCAGTCCATCAGCCTGCAGCACCGAGCCAGGACAAGTACACATACCACCACACACACAATGTCTGCTGCTACCGCACACACTCCTCAAACCACCAACATACACTCTGCTGCTTCCACACTCACTGCTCACGCACACAGCAACTTCCCGCAGCCCTGTGAGGATGCAACCTGCAGGCTCATGGAAGAGAGCATCCACCAGGACCACCGTGAAGCTGTGGTCCCGACCCCCTTCTCCTCCTCTGCCCCTCCTGAAGTCACAGGAACATCCATCTGTGAATCGGAAGAAACAAAAGGTACTGACACAGGCACAAATCTGAACACTGAACCTGAAACCTGCACAGAAATGAGTGTGGAGGAGAGGGGGGAGGAGCGAAGTAACAAGGAGGAAGCTGTAATGTCAGCTGCTGAGGAAGAAGAGGAGGTGCCAAAGGAGGAAGAGTTCCCAAGTGATGAGGAGGAAGCTGAAAGTGAAGATACAGAGGGAGATGGAGAAGACGAGTTGAATGAAGATGGAGAAGATGAGGTAGAAGAAGGCCCAGAGGAAGTAGAGGTCGAGGAGGAGATTCAGGTTATGATTGTGCAACAAAGTAAAGAAAGAAATGAGGATGAGGAAATGGTGACAGACGAT